CATGCTAGTCGCTAGCCTCTCTGATGCTAACACCAGCTTATCTAAGCTTGTCACTAGCCTCTCTGATGCTAACACCAGCTTATGCATGCTAGTCGCTAGCCTCTCTGATGCTAACACCAGCTTATCTAAGCTTGTCACTAGCCTCTCTGATGCTAACTCAGCTTATCTATGCTAGTCGCTAGCCTCTCCAATGCTAACACCAGCTTATCCATGCTAGTCGTTAGCCTCTCTGATGCTAACACCAGCTTATCTAAGCTTGTCACTAGCCTCTCTGATGCTAACTCAGCTTATCTATGCTAGTCGCTAGCCTCTCCAATGCTAACACCAGCTTATCCATGCTAGTCGCTAGCCTCTCCAATGCTAACACCAGCTTATCCATGCTAGTCGCTAGCCTCTCTGATGCTAACACCATCTTATCCATGCTAGTCGCTAGTCTCTCTGATGTTAATGCCAGTTTATCCATGCTAGTCACTAGCCTCACTGATGCTAACACAGCTTATCTATGCTAGTCGCTAGCCTCACTGATGCTAACACAGCTTATCCATGCTAGTCGCTATCCTCTCTGATGCTAATGCCAGTTTATCCATGCTAGTTGCTAGCCTCTCTGATGCTAACACAGCTTATCTATGCTAGTTGCTAGCCTCTCCAATGTTAACACAGCTTATCCATGCTAGTCGCTAGCCTCTCTGATGCTAACACAAATGAATAGTCTCCTCTTTTACCAGCGCTGGCCTCTCTGTTACCGGGTCCAGCTGCTCAGTTAGCGGTGCTGACCCATCATTAATCAGATCAATAGCTGGTTCAGGAATAGATATAGCCTCCTGCTACAATGATGTAGCAACCTCTGGTTGTGCAATAGTTTTAATTTTGGCCCTCATACGGTACCATATCAAACTGAATGAGTTTTATAAAGCAAGTTTGTGCACAAAAGGCTTGCCATAACCACTAAACTTCTTTGAACAAGCAGGTTATTGGGTTTCACTTCTTGCTTTGCTTTGATTTAGAGTGCTTTACATGAAATATTTCTCCACTGTTTTTAGCCATTAGCAACAAGCTAATAGTTTGTAAAAAAGTAAAACTATGTTGGGTTACTTGTACCTAAATATTTGTACCTTAATCATTCAGTACAAATACATACAAAAACTATTTTTTCTGCAATTATAATCTGATCCATTGAGCATTTTAAAAAGTTACCCAGCCTGGCTCGTTGAGCTGATGTGATCCGTTTCTCCCCTCAGAGTGCCGCTCCTCAGACTGCGAGCACTGCTTCAGCCGGGACTTCTGCACAAAGTGTAAAGTGGGCTTCCAGCTGCACAAAGGCAAATGTCTGACCCGCTGCCCGGAGGGAACCATCGCCCGGCAGGCCGACTGCTCCGGTAACAACTCCTTCATTTCCTGCAAACAAAACAGAAAACATCCAAATCTGAGAAGCTTTTATTTACAATCAAGTTTAGTCTGAGAGGAAAACTACCTGAATAAATAAACAAAAGTATCATTTAAATGTTTATTCAACAGCACTGACGCGTCAAACTGAATCATTAGAGGATTCAAAGCTTTTATCCAGATCTGTCATTTCTGTTTAATGGAGTCTGACAGGACTGCAGAGCAGATGGAGAAGTTTCGCTTTTATCTTATATATTTAAATAAACAAATAAAAACCGGGAAGATGCACAGAATAAAACCTGTCATTGTGTCTGACGGCTGGTTGTGAAGTGGACCACATGTCTGGGCCGGAGGACGGTCTGGACCCAGAATCCAGACTAAACTTATTTATAAATCAAGAAAAAAGGCAGAAAAACTTACAAAGTGAAGGAATCAGGAGGAGGATGAACACTGGACAGGAAGTCACTGTGGTGGACATGATGAGGACACACCTGAACTGATGGCAGATTGAGACCAGGTGAGAGGAGCTGGTTCAGAGCAGGAACACAAAAACACTTTAACCTGTTAAAGGGATCCATGATTAGTTTTAACATTAGACTTTATTAAATAAACATTTATTTTAACTGTAAAGTAAAGACTGTAAAAATACTGTAGGATGTTTAGTTTTGTAATTTTTTTAAATTATATTTTAAAACAGACGGGCCATTTTATTTCCACACAAAGCATTCTGGGTAAATGATGACGTGGATAGGTCCTCGGTGCGAGGCTGCTAGCGAGCTATATCCACCCTGAAGGTTAATCTTGGACAATATCTGATGATCGACTCTTTTAAATGAAACCAGAGAGCGTTGACAGAGAGGAGAAGGTAGAAATGACTCAGCCTGGAACTGAAAATATGGATGGAGGACAACAGAGCTGCTTCATGGAAGAACAACCTTAGCTTAGCCTGTTAGCTTTAGCATTAGCCCCAATGACATCATCATATATATGTTAGCCTGTTATCTTTAATGTTAGCCCCGATACCATCACCATATATGTTAGCCTGTTAGCTTTAGCATTAGCACCAACGCTAGCATGACAAACAAGCTAAACTGAGGTCCTCCATCCATATTTTCAGTTACAGCTGAGTCAAATTTGTGTTCCCCTCTCTGTCATGTGGATGGAGGACCTCAGTGAAAAGAGGAGAATGTGTAGCGCTGAGCTAATACATATATTTGGTGTTAGCACTGGGGCTAATGCTAAAGCTAACAGGCTAATCTGAGGTTGTTCTTCCATGAAGCAGCTCTGTTGTCCTCCATCCATATTTTCAGTTCCAGGCTGAGTCATTTCTACCTTCTCCTCTCTGTCAACGCTCTCTGGTTTCATTTAAAAGAGTCGATCATCAGATATTGTCCAAGATTAACCTTCAGGGTGGATATAGCTCGCTAGCAGCCTCGCACCGAGGACCTATCCACGTCATCATTTACCCAGAATGCTTTGTGTGCAAATAAAATGGCCCCGTCCGTGTTAAAATGTATTTTTTAACTTTTAGCTTAAAAATGTTAAAAACTAAACATCCTACAGTATTTTTACAGTCTTTATTTTACAGTTAAAATATATGTTTATTTAATAAAGTCTAATGTTACAACTAATCGGGGATCGTTTCAATATAAAACACCAAAGATTTCAATAAAACCTCGGTGACCAGCTGGAGCTCTGATGTGTTGGTGAGAACTCTCAGCTACTACCACCTCAGATAGGAGCTCAGATTCTGTCAAACTCAGTTAAAAACATTTGTTTGCTGAAACCGTGCCGATGTGGCGGCCATCTTGAACCTGTGTTTACTGCAGATCGGTGAATTCTGAGTCGCTTCGATGTAAGAAATCGTAGTTTTTTTTCTTTTGATGGAACGTGAGTGAAACTAAAGTGAGCTTTAATTAACAGCAGACCTCCTTTCATGTTCCTGGACGTGTTTCTGCTTATCTTAAATCCTCCGTCGTGTTCCTCGGCTGCACCCGGGCTTGAATTATCCAGACTCCTTATCTCATTATGTGACACTAATGACTCATGTTAGGTGTTTTTCTGTTTGAATGTCTTGGAAAAAACAAGACTTGAACCCGCCTGGGAACACTCATCCAGCCTTTATCTGGGTTTAAATCTGAGATAAATCCTTTCTGATGGGGCCGAACACGTGAAACACGTTAAAATCTTCAGAGGAGTTTCTGGATTTATCTGTGCCCCGCTGCGTATAATCCCTCCCTTTTTTCTACGTAAGTGAGATGTATGATTGAAGTTCGTCATTATCTGATGTGATCGATTCTCCTCTGCCGTCCACCTGCAACATCTGCAGCTACCGGTCTTTTTTCTTTAAAGCCGTGGAGGCAAACATCTTGTTTCAGTGCTGCTGTTGGTGCACACCTTAACCAGCTCCAGAACCGTCTCCTCTTTCAAACCTGACAAACGTAATGATAATTACCAAGATATGTGGGCCCCTTTTGGCCCACGATGTGCATTTTCCATCACTGAGTGCACTGGGAATAAGTTTGGTGACTGACTTCATGGATGAAGTCACTTGTCGGCAAAAATAAAATTAAAATAAGGTCCATTTATGATTCGGCTGGCGTGCATCGAACTGAAATCTGAAGAGAAAGTTAATTCTCTTCTTCAGCCACCAAATCTGAAATCTGCTTCCTGGTTTATTTTCAGGCTCTGGTTGAAATTTACCTGCGAGGAAAGAAAAGAAAAGCAGGTTCAGTGAACCAGTAAACTGTGCAACAAACTCATTAACCTCTGACCTCAAAGTCTTTAGGCTCCGCCTCCTTAAAAATCGACCAAATTAAGTTACATCCTTAAAGTGCCTCTGTCGTCAAACTTTTAAAAACACATGAATGCATTTTTGGAAAGATGACACAGATAACATGTACCAATAAAAATTTCATCCTGCTGAGATGAACAGCTGTTGAGATATTTGCTTGTGAACAAACAGGAAGTGATGTCATAGGGGAATGTCTTAATGTAAACAAAGTGCTGCTTTGACAATAATGACGCAGACTGTAGAGAAGAATCTCATTCTTTATATTTTGAGTTACTAGAAAGATGAAGACAAATGATGAAACAAAGACCAGGAAGTTCCCCTTTGATGTCACTTCCTGTTTCCCTTTGATCCAAGTTCAAAAGAAACTGTTTCAGTTATGTGACGAAATGTGTAAAATCATGTGTTTTATTCAAGATTCAAAGTGTTTATTGTCATATACACCGATGAAACATTTCCCTGAGCAATGAAATTCTTACTTTGCTGACCACTCTGCATGCCAAGAGACAGCTAGATGAAAATAAAGATCAAGCACTTAAACGATACTAAGAAAGTAATAAGGGATAAAGGATGAAAAATGTCAGGTTTCTTAAATATTAAGAAGTTTTCTTTGACTTGTATTTGATGGAAATGCACATCGTCCTGTCTCTATACTTGAAGTTCATTTTAATAAATATACTTGAGTATAATTTTAAGTATATCGTATATATTCCACCTTTCATTTCATTTTATTTGTATTTTCTTTTTTTATTGTACATAGAATTGTTTTATGAAATGAATAAAGTTTTTCTAACTAACTAACTAACTAAATATATATGTAACGTATACTAGGCACCATGTACTTGTAGTGTACTGCAAAGTATACAGATTTTAATACTTGTTTATACTAAATTGGGACTTTAAAAGTTTATAAAAAAGTATACTTTAAGTATACTGCTATAATGTATTTTTAAGTTTATAAACTTACCAAAAAGACGTACACTTTAAGTACATGTCATTAAGTATACTAAAGTATATAAAGGTGTATTCCCTAAGGGTAGTTTTATTTACCGTGTACACGGATATAAGTATACTAGCAAAAAGAAGTACACTTTAAGTACATGTCATTAAGTATACTAAAGTATATAAAGGTGTATTCCCTCAGGGTAGTTTTATTTACCGTGTACACGGATATAAGTATACTAGCAAAAAGAAGTACACTTTAAGTACATGTCATTAAGTATACTAAAGTATATAAAGGTGTATTCCCTCAGGGTAGTTTTATTTACCGTGTACACGGATATAAGTATACTAGCAAAAAGAAGTACACTTTAAGTACATGTCATTAAGTATACTAAAGTATATAAAGGTGTATTCCCTCAGGGTAGTTTTATTCACCGTGTACACTGATATAAGTATACTAGCAGTTTACTAACAAATATACTTCCAGGACTAAATTGGCCCACAATACATTTATGAAAGTATACTGAAAGTAATCTTCTACGTATACTTTTAGTTTAATCTTGAAATATACTAAAAATAAACCAGTCTGTGTGAAAATGTACTTTCAGTGTACTTCTAAAGTTTATCTTGGCCAAAAGTTTAAACATTTGTATAAATTGTATAAATATACGTAAACTTTTAGTACAAGAAAAGTGTAAGATAAACTTGGTTAAGTATTTCTCATGTAAATACATAAAAAGTAAACTGGAAGTATACTCTTATATTTTTCAGTTTAGAATAAATGTACTTAATGGGTACTTGTAGTACTATCAGTCCATGTCTTCTGTGTGTCCAGAGGACTGCCCCCCCGCCGCCCGGGGGGCGTGGAGCGAGTGGAGCGTCTGCGCCCGGGACGGCGCCACCTGCGGGTTCCGATGGGGGAAGCAGACCAGGACCCGGGAGGGCGTCCAGCCCGACAAGGACACCTCCCTCTGCCCGTCGGAAAGCGAGACGCAGAGGTGCAGGATGAAGAAAAAATGTCCCACAGGTGAGACAAGCAGCTGGAGGAGGCGGGGCTTCACGCAGGTGTCGTGTTTCGTGCAGATTAGCGCTTTAAAAAACAACAACATGTGAAACTGGACTGGGTTTGCTGGAAAAGGTGACGTTTTGATGCACAAACTCTGATATAAAAAGTGACGTTTTTAGTGACTAATATGTTGAGAAACCGTTGAAACTGCGATTCGCTCATTTACAGCAGAAATAAAACGCTCTGTGAGTCAGACTCCCCCAGACTCCCCCAGACTCCCCCAGACTCCCCCAGATTCCCCCAGCTGCTCTTTATTAGCGCTGCATTTCAAACAAACAGTCAAATATCACAGAAACTGTTAGAGTCAGCCTTCCTCTCACAGGGAGACTTATACAACTTTTCTTTAACTGCACCGCTCAAACAATTAATAATCTCCATTTAACGCTGGTTTTTACGCAGAAAAAGCTCCCCGTCGAAGCGGCTGCTCTTGTTAGACGTTAGCGTTTCTGCTGTTATATTTATAGAGCTGCCAGATGTTTCTGTCTTTTGAAGGCGGGACTTCTTCGACTGACAGGATGGAGGCCTTTTGATGTTTTCCCGTAAATCTCAGAGTTCTGTCACAGCGGCCACTTCTGCCTGCAGGAATCCCACGGAGGAACGGAGAAGTTCTCGCATTCTTCAGGCTGGTTTGGTTTCATTTGAGCGCCGAGTGTGCCGGTGAATGAAATGAGCCGTTTGTGACAACGTGGAGCTGAAGAAGCTGAATGAAAACCTGTTTGTTCTTTTAAATAAAGTTTTTTTCCCCTCAGTTGTCGAAGAGGATCATGTAGGTGACTGATAAAGGTCAGCACCTGGTTTTAACTAAACCCACAAAGTGTTACAGAACCACAGCAGAACCACAGCAAAGGTTCATGTTTCAGCTGCTAATTATTATTTAAACCTAACGGATGCAGAAAAAAAAACATCCGGTTTTACTGGAAGAGATGCTCCAGAAAAACCAAATTATTGTTCTGCGTGAAGGAAACATCTACAGATCAGACCTGCTTCCATCGAGTCAAAGGTCAGCATCGTGCCCACCTTTGATTTGACTTGATTTAAACACACAAAAAGAAAAACAAAAAGAACACAACAATTCAAAATGAGATATTTCACGTGCAAGGGAAGGGTAAAAGCCTGAGTAGACTTATGTAAAAAAGAAACCACTCCCAATCAAATGAGACTACAACAACAGTAAAAAACTATAAAATAAAAATAGCCACTCAAATAAAAATAACGAAAAAGAAACAATAACATCAAAATTCGACGATCGACTCTTAAATGAAACCAGAGAGCGTTGACAGAGGGTAAGTATTTAAGAAGGTAGTATAAGGCAAGTATAAGAAGGTAGAAATGACTCAGCCTGGAACTGAAAATATGGATGGAGGACAACAGAGCTGCTTCATGGAAGAAGAACCTCAGATTAGCCTGTTAGCTTTAGCATTAGCCCCGATGCTATCACCATGTATATGTATTAGCTCAGCGCTACACGTTCTCCTCTCATCACTGAGGTCCTCCATCCACATGACAGAGAGAGGAACACAAAAATGACTCAGCTGCAACTGAAAATATGGATGGAGGACCTCAGTTTAGCTTGTTTGTCGACCTAATACATATAAGGCAATATAGCATCGGCGCTAGCGCTAACAAGCTAAGCTGAGGTTGTTCTTCCATGAAGCAGCTCTGTTGTCCTCCATCCATATTTTCAGTTCCAGGCTGAGTCATTTCTACCTTCTCCTCTCTGTCAACGCTCTCTGGTTTCATTTAAAAGAGTCGATCATCAGATATTGTCCAAGATTAACCTTCAGGGTGGATATAGCTCGCTAGCAGCCTCACACCGAGGACCTATCCACATCATCATTTACCCAGAATGCTTTGTGTGGAAATAAAATGGCCCTGTCCGTGTTAAAATATATTTTAAAAATTTACAAAACTAAACATCCTACAGTATTTTTACAGTCTTCATTTTACAGTTAAAATAAATGTTTGTCAAATAAAGTTTAATGTTACAACTAATGGTGGATCCCTTTAAAATCCATCAAAACACAAACAAAAACAAGAAAAATCAATATGAATTTAAAATCACTCAAATTTCACATTTCAAAATCAACAGCTTGGTTTTTAATCTATGTTTATTCACAGAGAGATACTGAAGGTTTCACAAGTTCAACATTTAAATTCCACATTTTAGCTCCATAAAATCTGACTGAGAACTGGTCACAATGATTTATATAATGAAAGATGCAAATTAAGAGTTTGTGAGTTCATATAAAACTAGTTTTTAAAATAAGAAGGCCAATTTATAAACAAAACTCTGAACACAAATGTACAAGTAAGAAATATGTTTATATCAAAAATATTCATCAGTTTTAATTTATAGAATAAAGCTGCACTTTTGGTGTCAAATTTCCAGAAGGTAACTTTTCCCAGAAACTTTTCTGTAGAATAAATATTTTGTTTAGATGAGTTGGAAATGGAGCTCCCCAAACAATATTACAACAGGAGACTGTTGGACCATGTCCCACCTCCAGCGTCCCCCAAAAGTCCTCATCTAAAAGCTCAAAGTGTCCCTTTAAAGCCAGACTCGGTTCTGAAGTTCTGGTCTGGGTAAATTCCTCCCAGAGAGGACATCTGGAGCCCCCCGTCCCCCCAGACTGTTCTCATTTGTGGTTCCACCGTGGTGCAGGATCCTGATCCACCAGAGACCCACGTGTTGCACCTCGGTACCTGAGCTGAAATGAGGGGTTTGTTTCAGAGCCGACACCTGAATGTTTGTCGTCTTGAGGGTCCGGTCCGGCCCGGTGTTTTGAACCTTTCCGAGCCAACTGTAATTTGTTCCAAGCCGTGCGTCTGTGCATGCCTGAGTGTTTCAGCTCTCCACAGTGGAAGGCATGTTATTGGAAGCAATTACCATTATCATTGTCAGATCCAGTGTCTGCTGGCTTTAGCAGGGGAAGGAATCTGATCCAGAACAGGCTGGTTCTGGGTTCTGGACCCGTGTACCTAAATAGCACGCATCTGGATTAAAAATAAAAGAGCCAAGTGGAATCACCCTGACATTCCTCTGTTGGTCCTGATTAGTGGACTCCAGTTCCTTCAGTCCACGTCTCTTGTTGTCTTGAAGGACATTTATCTCCTCCTCTTCATCACGTCTTCATCTTTCACGGTTTGACAACGTGTGTTAAAATACACAACATACTACAGAAACTTTTATAAAGCAGCGCTGAGCTTAAATAAAGAGAACCTGCAGGTTCTGTTGGAACCAGAACCTCACTGAGATTCAAATGTGCAAACTTTCAGTAGCATTTTCACTTAAACTTTACGAAAATGTCCCTTAAATTTTATTTAAAATTGACTTAAATGTCCCTTAAACTTTACTTAAAATTTATTTAAACGTCACCTAAATTTACTTAATCACCTAAACTTTAGTTACAATGTACTAGAAGGTCCCTTAAACTTCTATTTAAAATTTACTTAATATGTCACCTAAACTTTACTTACAATGTAATTAAATGTCACTTAAACTTCCCTTGAGCGTAAACTGTACTTAAAATTTATTAACTTAAACTTTACTTAAGTGTAAACTTTACTTAAAATGTACTAAAATGTCCCTTAAACTTTACTTAAAATTTACTTGTCACAAACTTAACTTAAAATTTACTTAAATGTCACTTAAACTTAGCACTATTCTAACTTTACTTAAACTTTATGTATTATTAAAACTTTATTTAAACTTCACTTAAACGTTACTCAAATGTCATTTAAACTTAACTTTACATTCGAGATGTTTGCACCCAGAGTTCTCAGACGTGTCGCCCCTAACGGCTCTGATCCATTAAATTCCTGAGAGAAGAAACTGAATCTTTACAACTCGCAGGATATCAAGAAGTTTTGTAAAAATGAAAAGACATTTGTCATAATTGCATAAATCCAGTGAAATGCAGTTAATCAAGCTAATCAAAAGTTTTCACATTTTGGTCTCTAGAAGCTAAATGCTAGCTCCTGTTAGCATGCTAATATGTGGTATTGGCACCAAACAAACATAATTTGAACACAGTTAATCTGAAAAGAAGCATTTTTCATATCGGTGCATCACCTGCTGGTTCCTGTGCTCTGTAAGCCCTCAGGGCTCATGTCGAGGAGGATTCTCAGCTACTACCACCCTGGAGGACCACTATCCTGCAGGTTTTAGACCAGGGGTATCCAGTCCTGGTCCTGGAGGACCACTATCCTGCAGGTTTTAGACCAGGGGTGTCCAGTCCTGGTCCTGGAGGACCACTATCCTGCAGGTTTTAGACCAGGGGTGTCCAGTCCTGGTCCTGGAGGACCACTATCCTGTAGGTGTTAGACCAGGGGTGTCCAGTCCCGGAGGACCACTATCCTGCAGGTTTTAGACCAGGGGTGTCCAGTCCTGGTCCTGGAGGACCACTATCCTGCAGGTTTTAGACCAGGGGTGTCCAGTTCTAGTCCTGGAGGACC